GCGGGGCTCGATCCCCAGGATCATGACCTGAGCCGAAGGCAGACGCTTAACCAGCTGAGCCACCCAGGCACCCCTGTGTTTGTGACTTTAAGGAACATTTACCAGAAAGTTCCTGCAGCCTACTTGTGTTTTCATCTCGGATTAGGACTATCCCATTAACCAGACTTAAAGGGACAGTGAGAAAAAAAATAAAGTTCCTTTTGGGATTACACTCTGCTCCTGCTTATTCACTACACTGGTGAGTCATTTAATTGTTGCTCTTGATGTTGGACCAGATGCAAGTCCCAACCCCATCTCTGTTTATTTCCTCTCATTGTTGGTGAAGAGGCTCTTGAGCAGAATGTCCCATCAAAGTTAGCCTGCGAGAGGCAGTCAAAGGAACAAGGTTTGGCTTATAGACGTCACATTCGGAGTATCCGAAAGGCCTTCTAGGCTACTGGAAGGATCAGAGGCAGTTAGAAGTAAAGGACTTTTCAGGAGTGACCTTGACCACTTAGGATGGAATCAGGACCTTGCAGAAAGGCCAAAGAGGCTCACAAAGCAACAACGGGGACAATGATGACACCAGAAACAACAGAAAGAAAAAGGGCGGGAAGGCCAGCAGAGGGAAGATCCTGGGCTCCAGCCAAGGCTGGCTGGCCCACGGGGACTGAAAGGTGACCCGAGGGAAAATGAGCAATCACTAGTGCAGCCCCTTCTCCACTCTGAGGGTGTTCATAATTGGGCAGGAAGGTGTTCTCTCCAGTACTGCATTGTGGACAGTTTGAGAAGCATGGCAGGATTACCCACCTTTCCCACATTCCTAGACCCTGAGCCCCTTTGCGACAGGGACTGAGTAAGCTCCGCCTTTTAGCACCCGCGCAGGTCCTGCGACAAAACAGGAGGCTCTATCCTGCTGCTGGATGGACAGTTAGACGTTGACCTTGTGCAAATCCCTTTCCCAGGATTCTGTTGCCACGAACTCCGAAAAAGCTCCTTCCCTGCGATGTCACTGGAGCCAGGCCTTGGAGGTCAGGGGTCACCCCCTCAGCGTCCCTCTCCTAAGAGCCATGTTGTGATGATCGAAGCAACAAGATCGTGTGTGTGAAAGGATTTTACACAATTCCACAGTGACAAATATTGTGGTAAGCCACGTACGGCAGCTGGGGTCATGCAAGGTCAAGCTCTATGGGGGTTCATCTTTGGTGAGGAGTGAGCCCTGTGCAAGTAACCTTCCACCTGTACCAGGGAAGGGACGAATGCTGATATCAACCCCCCTGAAAAATAATCCCTGGGCCCCCCCATTCTACAGTCCTCTGGGGTCATGCTGTTGTTGCCCAGTGGCTACCAGCCTGAATCACTGAAGCCTCAAGTCAGGAACCCAGACACCACCTAGAGGCATCAGGTGTTTCAACCCCTTCACTACTGAGAAACCACAGGTTTGTGAGTTTCATGTACACAAGCAAATGCAGACGAAGTTTCAACCTTTTTATTCAAAGCAGCTTCTCACAACGTATAAATACTGCGTATTAGCACACATGAAAAATACAACTTCTAAGGCACCCAGAAATGTGTTCATACACGTTACAGGACCATTCACAAAGAGAGTGTACAATTTGCTCTAGACAGTCAGCATTTGATAAGTCAGAAGATTATTATCCCTCAGTACTGCACCCAGTCTCAGGAAATATTTACAACGCAGTGAGAAAGGGTCAGCTGTACCTGCTTTTATAATTCTATGAAGTACTCATACTTACAAATATTCAGAACTAGTTAAAGACTCTCCCATGATAACCTGGCAAAATAAAACAAGTAGCCTAATTTGCAAAGGTCTCCTTGGATTTTGGTGTGTGTGTGTGTGACACCCACGATCAAATCCACACACTCCTAGGGTGGGCTGGATAAGTTTTTGGTAACCTGCTTCATTATCAGAAGTTTGGTAATAAGCCTTACCACTAGAATGCCACTTCTTCAGCATCAATCATTTCTCAACCAGTTAATGGATTGGTGACTTCATCATGAATGAAAAATGGAGCATCCCTTGGTGTGAGAATTGAGGGAAATTCTTCTCGTGCCAAACAGGAATTGGAATGGGTCAATGAAGAACAAAAGGAGGTGGAAATTTAGCAACTTCAAGATGCTGCTCAGTGTAGACACATTTTTAAAAACTCACGCTGGAAGTTCCTACTCAGATGGAACAGTCTACACTGGTGAGATCATCTGGAAGAATGCCAGACCTCCACCTTTTATGATATGGATAAGGGCTGGGACTGCACAGCAGAAACAGCCACCTGAGACAGCGAGTTTCAATCTGAGAAACTCATTTTTCAGAGCCTTCTCAAGGTGATAACAAATCCCTCTGCATGGCCAGCCAGGTCGGTGGAAGCGAGCAGCTTCTCTGTGCCATAAAGCGTGCACACCTCTGTCTGGATGTGCCCACAGTCTATGAATCACGTGCTTTGTTGGTATTAATGGAATTCTTTGGTCCTTACTTTTATGAAAGGCAGTATTTTCACAATCCTGTCAATGTGGACACCAGCAAATGACTTCCAGCTGGGACTAATGGCACAGGGACAAGTTTAATACCAGATGGAATACTCTACACCCTCCAAACTTCCCGGAGTCCCCTGAATGAGCGAGCTCCAGCATCAGGTCAGGTGCTGGGCCAATGAGGCATGGTCAACCCGGACAGACACCAGCTGAGGCTTCAGATCCGACATCTGTTCTTTGGACTGCGCACACACTGCAAACACGGGAAGCAAATCTCCATCTTGATGATGGACCTTATAAATGCTTACTAGAGATGCACTCAATAACCTGACGTTTAGCCATACGAGAGCCCTGGTCTCCAGTCATCTTTAAAGCCTTAGTAAGGAGAATCAGTTGGTAGCTAGGGAAGTGTGGCCAACCGAAAGGAATCGTAATCTTTAGAAAAAAATTAAGTCCAAACTCTAGATGGTTTTATTAGATCCCAGACACAGTGGATGCACCACCAATGAGCTCCATGACTTAGACTCCACTAAAACAGCCCTGGGTGACTGGCCTCAGCTGATGTGATGCTCTTAATCTAGTTTGCCTTTGCCCTGCTAAACTCAGTTTTAAGTATGGCTTCACACACATAGTTCATTAATAAGACACTCAGGACACATGGGAATGCTGATTATGTAACTGAAATTGACTTCAGATTGTCTACACAGTAAGACTCACATGTAAACTTTGTTAACACCTCTCAAGGAGTGCTGACCTCAGCCGGGCTGGATGGTGCCAGGTCATCCACGAGGGACCTGGGGTCAACCACCAAAGTCAGGAGTAGGAAATGCCATTTGTTCAGAACAAATGATGGACCAGCAGCCCTCCCTGTGACCATGTCTAAACCATGTGAATAGTGCGAAGGAGGCTCCATAAAACCTATCCTTGGTCCATTCCTATGGCCAAAAGCAATCACCAAGCTGCCTGTCTGGCTCCTGCTGCCATCAGCTCAACCAAACTCTTCACATTAGCCATGACTTTCGGACTGCGTTGAGTCCATCAACATGGCTTACGTTGCTTGGAAGAAACAACAACCCGTATTACCCTTTTTTTTTTTTTTTTTTTTTTTTTTTGCAACAAGCTTAAGGCTCTGTTCACAGACTCCATCAACTGCCGCACAGTGAGACTTTACGGGGAGGTCCTAAACTACATATGTAGTTGCAAAGGTTGCAAAATTTACTGATCCTAATGGTAAGGCTTATCCACAAATTCAGTACATTTTCAAATTATACTTCAAACTCAATTACTCTGAGAAAAAGAAAATTAACCTGCTCTCCAACAATATAAAAGCAGTAGATTCTAATGAAAAAAATAAAACCATTGGCACCAAACCAGTATGCTATTTTTTGAAAGAACAAGTGATGTTAATGGAAAAGATTGCCTAAAACGCATATCCTAACTTACCACAGAAATATAAAAGTTTATATTCTGAAAATATATACTGTATTAAAGTCTGTAAGCATTTCAACCAAAATTTGCAGAAATAACTGAGCAACACTTATCTACAACAAAAATATACATGCAAGACAACCCCCAAATGGTTTCCCTTAAATATCTACAAAGGCAAAGTGTAGATTTTTAAAGATTATACAAAACCATTTACAGAGAATAAAATAAAATACTTATGAAATCTCATTTAGAGTCTTAAATACTGCGTATATTAGTGAGAGTGTCTAAACTAATATGTACAACAGATCTAAGTGTCTGAATACAGAAACACAGAAGAGAAGCAATTCTGCATTTTAAATATTCACTTAGGAAGATTTGAAGATGTTTCTATTTGTTTCTCTTAAAAAAATTTCCACAGAAACTAGATTGGAAAATTGCATGAATGTGACTCAATTTCAAATTAAAAAAAGTTTACAAAATCTTTTAAACCAACAATTAATGGGAAATGCAATTCAGCATTCAGTCAAGGCTTTTTTTAAAATGTGGATATTTGGAGCTACAGTTGCATTGATCAGAGTCCATTTTGATCATTATTTTCCCATCCTCATACTAAACTTCATATGGAAGAAACATATTATCATGCTTCAGAGAGAACATTTCCTAGTTTAATCTATACCAAACAAGTATAACATTTTAAATCAATTCTCTACTACCTTCTCAGAGCTAGCCAATTCCATTCTTAGAGGGTAATTCTTAATGGTTTTTGCCCACAGACATTATTTAAAAGCTGGAAGGGACATGTGGGTACATCAGCATTCTTGTGTGGTTTCCAAATGATGAGCAGCTCTGACCACCTTGGCAAAGTTTGCAGAGTCCTCTTGGAATGGGGCTGCTAACTCCAGTGGTCCCATTACAGGACGCTGGGTGCTAATCACCTGGGGCTGGAGCGGAGCGGGGAGGGGAAGTCTAACGTGGGGCTTGCGGAACGGCAAAGAGTGGGTTACCTACAAGGTTCCTCGACTGAAGAAGTACCCTCACTTGCCACCCACGGCGGTTCTTCCAACCCCAAGGTGAATTCTGGGCTTGGGCTGCCAAGACCAGGCAGCTCCTCAAAGACCTGCCCAGGCTCTGGGAAGGGACAGAGGGTGGGGGTGGAGGCAAAGCAGGGTGAAGAGAGGGGAGAAGCGATCCTATGGATGGAGAGAAGGCGCTGTGACCAAAGATAAAAAGTGAAAACCTGAGCCCCCTGTCTTGAGAAAGCTCTTAGGGTAAACCCAGACACATGCACAGATCTGGCATTTTCCATCCCAGGTCAGTTTGCTAAAAGTTACCTGGATTTCATCTCCATATTATCAAAACAACTATCCAGAAAGTGGAGAATTCAGCAATGCAGTCTACCCTGCAGCAAGCAGATTTAACCTACTTTGGCCCAATTTGTGGAACATCCTCCTTGAATTGACTGTGTAGAAACAACCAAAATACAGACCATCTTTCAAAACACCTCCTCTTATACCCAGAACCTACAAATTAACAGCAGAAATTCTACCCTAGTAACAGTTTCACATTCTTACCCTATCATCAGAGATCCTTCCAATGGGGAAGGATAATAAGGAGAGGGGCTTTCTATAGAGAGAACCAAGGCCATCTTGGGGATCGCATCCAGATGAACTTCACATTCACTATCTACAGGACCATGTCTCGAGCCTTAGTGTAGACACTCAACCCACTCTTGAAACACAAGGCAGACAGAAAACTGTGGCAACAGCCTCCCTGTTCTCAGCCGGCCTCCCCTCCCCCCACCATGCTCCCAGCACTCCCTGCTCCACTCACTGTCTCCAACAAGGGCCAAGACAGGCTGGCGACCACAGAGGGAAAGAGAAGAGGAGGGAGGCAAGGAGGTCTCTGAGAATACTCATGGGCTGTGATGGATATGGAACAATCCCATCACTCCGATAATCTAACTGACCCACAGAAGGGTGACGCCTCATGCAGAACATGCTCCTGTCATTTCGCTGCTCCAAACCCGAGGTCTACCTTTCTCTTCATCAACCCAAACCCAAACCAAGTCCCGCCCCTTCTCTTCAGCTGATCCATGGACTTTGGGGTGATGGTCTAAATGCAGATGTGGGCAGGCAGCCCAGGGACCCTGGCACAGGAGGCCTCATCCCTGGTTATTTCGCCCTGATGTAAGTAAACAACTAGCAACAAGATCGTCTGCGCTTCTAGACACGAAATGATTCAAACCAACTGACAGCTCAACAGAGTGGGAGCTCTTCGCCCACCTCCCCTGGAAGGCCAAAACCAGACAACGCTGTCCACATGGAAGAAATGGACTCTGAAATCCAAGTTCAGTCATTTGCCCCAAAGACAAAGGGCTCACTCTAGACAATATGCAATCCCTAGGCAGGGCCTATTAGCTCTTCCTGACATGACGAATTAGGGAGTGGGTATGTCTCAGTACCATTCAGGCTGGAGGCCCCTTTATCTCCTTCAAGGCAGCAGAGTGAAGAGAAAACTCTCCCATAATTTCTCCTAAGAGCAGGTACTCAATTATTACAGCTGAGAACCGTTTTACATGAAGAGGATCTGGTGCAGAGCTATTCCTTTTATCCATGGGAATCCTTCCATTTACATCTCTCCGAATTTTATTTCTGCGTGGTTCATTGCTAGAATGCACCAAACAGCATGAACCTTGTACGGGATTTGGTCCAGGGCAGTATGAAAATAATATCTGTGTCAACGACAGATATCATAATATATAAACAAAAATAAATAAATTAAATAAGTTTGATTAAAGAAAAAAATCTAGTAGTTCATGTTTTTGTAAAACTAGCTTTACATATAATACACATAAATTATCAGAATTTTCACTTACATTGTTTTAAAAATATATATTTAACAAAACATTCCTAAACGTACAATATCTGGGTTTGCAAATCACTCAACTGGGTTTTAAGACCAAGCCCTAAAAGTCACACAGATTTGCATCAGAGAGAAGACTGAGGCTGGCTCTACACAACTGTTTTGCTCAGCGGTCTGGAAATTCCCTAAGATTGATTGTCCCCTGTCACCGGATCTGCACTTAACCGGAGAGAGCCATACAGCCACGTCTCCAAAGCAGAGGCACTGTGTAGACACGGCCTGAGTCAGAAGGATGGGGAAAACTGGCCTTCCCCCTCCTGGACCGGGATGGTGCATTTCAGCGAGTGGGGAGAGGACCAACAGTACCTGGCAGAGGCCTGGGAAGATATAGCCCTCGATACCTCTCTGGCCAGTGGAGGGACGGGGGTGGGGGTGGGGGGACCCGGGGGAAGCCGAGTATGCTGTGCTTCCCATCTGTTATACAAAATCAAACCAATGCGGAGCAACCAAAGGACAGGAGAAAATGGACACAAGAGAGACACCTTGACAAACGCCTTAGCCGGCGCACACCGTGCTCGGATTTCTGAAGCACAGGGCAAAGATGGAAGTCAGGTGCCCTCGAGCGCTGGGGCACTTGGGCTGGGGCTCTTCAGACCTCGTAAATTTTGTCCTGCAGGTAGCTGAACAGGGAATCCAGGCCCTTGGAGGAGCTCCAGAGCTGCTTGAGCATGAGGCATTCTTTCTCGTTCACATCTTCAAGCACGGACTTCAGGAAGCTCCGAACGAGGCATTTCGACTCTTCCAACACCTGAAGGGAAACGCATAAGCCTCGTTAGCCGGCCCCAGGGACTCTGCTCCAGAAGAACGTACTTGGCCTAGGAGGCACCAGTTAACCTTCCGATGTCCAAAGCCAGAGGAGACTGCCTGCTGTCGTCCAGAACTTCCCAGGCCCCGTGTCCCCAGCAATGCCAGGAATGGGCTCCAGGCGCGCCAAGGTGTTGAGCCCTCGGTCCCTGGGATGGCGCAGTGGGGCCTGTGTGACCCCCGACCACGAGAGCTTTGTCCTTGACCCAAGGGTGACATATCATATCATTTTCTATGGGTGTCATGAAAAAGTTTGGGAAACACCGCTCTCACCTCGCATGCTTCGTTCTGATTATCTGCGCCCACGTGACAACAACGCCTACCGTAAGGACGGCTGGCATCACAGAGTAAGAGAACGAGCTGAGGGCTGTCAGAGTATGCAGCGGGCTCACCCCAGCAGGAGTGTCTCTTGTTTAGGCTTAGTAGGAAGAGCCGCGGCAAGAGAACTAGCGATCGTTGTAGTAGGGAGTAATACCAGCTGCGGTAACTGTAGGGATGCCTAGTAACAGCGAGGACAACAGTAATAACCCTAGAGTATTACAGCAGCAACAGTGGGAGTGTTAGTAATGCCATAGTGAGGACGGTCGTGGCCGTGTTGATGCCACAGGGTTATGGCAGCAACACAACGACAGCGATATCAGGACTACGGTAGCGATAATGGTGGTAACGGGGAAAATCATCACGGTCATGAGTGACAGCAATTGTACTGCTCACAATCCTAATAGCAACGCGATTAGAAGTAGATGTGAGAAGTACTTCCCCTGCTTTCTCTCATTTCGTCCTCATGTTAACTCCAGAAAGAGGTAGTGATTTTATCTCCACATTATGACGGAGGACCGGAGCCCAGCGGAGTAAAGGCGCCCGAGCTGCCCAGCGCATGTGGCCTGCAGACGCCCGGCTGACCGGGGCAGGCCAAGCACAGACACCGCGGGGGACTGAGGCACCCGAGCATCCTTCGTCCTTCCACCGGCCTCCGCCCTCCTCTGCTGATGTCAAGGCTTCGCTTCACACTTTCCCAAAGTACTTTCAAAGAGAAAAAGCAGGACAAGGGCTTTCTTGCTCAAGCAGGCTGGAAGGAAGCTGGGATCTTCCTACTCGGCCCGGGCTGGAGGCTAAGGGGAGTGAGAAGGGGCCGGCGGACCAAGGCCGCCTCCCGCCTCACAAGAGCTCCCCTGAAGAACCCCAGCTCCCAGGTCCCAGAGCAGAGTCCTTTCTCAAGCAACTCACCCCCAAAGCTCCTGAATTCACAACTGGAGAGAGGAGAGATTTCCTTGCAGTATTTCTTCAACAGCTTGCTTGCCTCTGTACCTCTAACTGCCCATGACCAGACTCCTTCATGGAACTTTGAGGCCTTTCTCCCACCTTCCTTTTCAACTTTATTGTCCCTCACTCACCCCGTGAACCTGCTTCCACCACAATAAGCCGCTGCCTGAACTCCACGGGGGTTTTCGCACTCGTGTGCCCTCACTCAAACTGCTTCCTCTGCTTAGAATGTCTACGTGCTTCTCCGTGCAGCTGATCCTAGGCTCATCAACCATCCCTGTGTGCCCAGGACACGGGGATTCCTGAGACATGGGATTCCAGCGCTAAAACCAGGAAAGTCCCAAGCAAAGTGGGACGAGTGGGTCACAGCAGTTATCAGGAAGATTAAAAGACAATCCGCATAAAGAGATTAACAGAGGGCATGGCCCATAATACGCAATCACCAATGATGCGGACCTCTCCCTCACCATCACTGGCACTGTCAGGTTTCCTGGGAGCGGAGCTTACACACAGTAGGTGCCCAGTCAAGGCTGATGAGGCAAATTGGGAGAGGCTCGGCGGCTGGGGCAGGGGGGAGGGGGAGAGGCATGGCGGCCGGGACGTTGGGGGCAGGGGGTCAGTGCAGACGGAGAGAAGGAAGGGACACTCATGGGTCTGACCCCAAAATTCCAGCCCAGCACCTCCCTGACTCCGAAGCACAGACAGAAGCGCCCCCACCCCGACCTTATTCTGCCAAATCACCTTTCTCATTTCCTAGACTGGCCCCGTGGCTCCAGGAGCAGCCTTTACTCCACCTTTCAACAGGGTATTTCCATACTGCGCTCAGAGTGACTTTTATGAGATAAAATTGACATTTAATTAAAATCCGGCGCCTCTACAGAGGTGTTATTTATTTATCTATTTTCCGATGTGTCCTCAGAGTCAAACGGCGACGGTTAAACGTGCCATGCACTCGGTGGGTAGAAGAAATGAAATATGAGGACGGCGTGTGCTGGCTTCTCTCATCTCCAGGACGGTTTAACACCCTTTGTCCTTATGTGCCTTTGTTTTTCGTATTCTTTGAAAACTACAGATGTTTTATGCTCCCGTGTGTGTCTAGGACTTTCTTTTAAGGCAACGCGCTCTACCCCAGGGTATAAATCTCTTCTGTGAGGTTTTCAGGCTGGACATGACGGAGAATCTCTAAGAATACCGACTGTCTGTCTCCGGATGAAAGCTCTCGACCCCGAGAGGAGGCACTGACGGCTTTACACACACACCCTGCATGACCTTTGGCAAGTCAGTTAGTCCCTCTCAGCCTCATGACCCTCATCTGTAAAATGGGTCTGTTGCACGGACAAGCACACAAAGACACAGGAACTCACCACTGCGCTGCAGGAGGCCATCTCCTTGACCCGCAGCATGACCTCCTGGCTGAAGGTGGTTGGCCAGAAGACCTGGGACACAAGTCCCCTGCTGCATGCCTCCTGGGCGGTGAGCTTCCGCCCACAGAACAGCATCTCGTTGGCCTGAAAAAAGCAAAGGCAGGGGAAGGCTGAGGGCCCAGAGTGCCTCCCACGTCTGTTAGCAAGGCCTGGTCTTGACGTGTACACCACTGTCCTGGTTCTCTAAGGCATGGCTATCAACTGGGGGGTCAGATAAGCTTTGGGAACTACCTGCAAACATCTGTGTCTGTGTGCATCTTTCTGAGCAGAGAGTCCACAGCTTTCCTCCAATTCCCAAAGGAAGCCACGTACCGACTGTGGGTTCGTCTGCCCAACACCCCTCCCCACATCTGGCAGCAGGCCCACAGGAGTGAGCAAGCACCTCAGGCTGGGTACATTTCAGTGCTGACATCCCAGCCATGACGACTGGTCCACAAAGGAACAGATATGTGTCCTGTGTAATAAAGCTCTCCGCGAGGCTTCCCAGCTAGAGGCGATGGGGTTGCATGCGAAAGTCAAGGAGCCCATGGCCACCCACTGCTGTGTCCCCACTCTTTGGAGAGGTGAGACCACAAAGAAAGGAAGGCTGGAGAACAAGAGTCCTGACTGAGCTGGGATTCCTGGATCCCAGCAACCCCAAAGAAGGCTCCACTTATGCATATGCAAGTTATGGCAATCAATGCATTCTTTTCTTCCCGTTTTAAGCCAGTTAAAGTGTCTCCATCACTGGCAGCCAGAAAGGTCCTAAATAATACCATCATACCAACGCAGAGGCACACATCTCTCCTGGTGACCCAGGGCTGTGCATACCTCTGCCCAGTTGGAAAGGGTAGAAAGCACCCTCCCCACCTGACCATCTCCCTCCCCGCCTTCTGCGGTTTCCTCCACACCCTACTCCCCAAAGAATTTCCTTTTGCTTTGTAGTTCACAGCTGTTATACGTGTTCTGGGAGGAGGCTGATGGATAAAGTCCTAGGCACAGATAGCACAATGCAGTCACCACTAAAACTTACCAAGTGACTCTCCAGCTGATAATTAGGGTGTGATGGTCACCACCATGTGATGGGGTCCCTATCTCCTTCAGGATAAACCCCCACCTCCTTCACGCAGCAGACAATCCCTTCCCTGACCTGCCATCCAGCTGCCTGCCCCTATATGCTGAGCCGCTCTTGGATCAATGTGGAAACGTCAGGCTCTCTCGGCTGCTGGATCTCTGCATGTGTTTTCCCCTTTGTTCTCGTTGTCACTGATGGGTCATGAAGACCCAAAGGACAATCTTTCATGCCAGAGTAGAGAAATTTATCAGGTTGGTAATGAGCCTACAGCATGCATTTGGTTAGAGGTTTGGAGACAAATCTCTGTCATTATACTTATTTAGAAACACCTCTGTCTCGGGAAGGAGAAATGAAAGGAAGGAACGCTACAGAAGCAGCCAAACAGGACACGGTCGGCAAGAATATGTCTCAGTCAGCAACATTCTTGGAGTTTCAGAAATGATTGAAATAAAAGAGACAGAAAGAGATAAGACTGTACAATGTTCACATTTTTGCAACCACAAAGGACAGGGAGGAACGGGAGTGGCACTGACTTTGGGCAGAGCACGGTGGCCGAGATCAAAAGGGGAAGTGTTTGCTTCCTGGGCTCCCTGCCTGCCTCATTTTTCTGCCATTGGTGAGCCTGTGAGTGGCCTCAAGCAGCCCCAACCCCAAGTCCCTGAATCCAAATGGCCTCCCCGATTCCACCCGCTGGCCCAGCTGCATAGACAAGGTGGTGCTGGTGGGTGTGGGGCTGCTGGTGGTCTCCACCGATCTCGTATTTTCTTCCTGTTTCATGCTACCATCAAAGAGGGACAAGCCCACATTCAAGGGGTAGAATGGGGGTTCCCATCCTTCCAGACTCACTTGGGAGGTGCCCCTGTCAGGAGCTTTCTCTAAGCACCCCTGAACCTTATCACAGTCCAGCAGTAGGGCCACTGGTGTAATTTTCCCACCTCCCCAGGTGGGAAGGCCAAGGTTTCAGGACCAGGGCAGAGGAAGGCACAGGCTGCAGGATCAGAGGCCCTTGCTCTGCCTTCTGCTTTCCTCTGGGACCCTATGTAAATCTCTTTGCCTCTCTGAGCCTGTTTATTCATCTCTAAAGTGGGTACCAGTTACCACTCGGGAGGATCCAATGAGATAACGAAAGAGCAGGGCAACACCACACCAGCCATGCATCCGCACCCACAGATGGGACTGTCAGGGATGGAGCCCCCCTGTTACTCATCTTTGTACTTCTAAGCAGGTAAGGCAATGCCTGGTGCCTACTGGAAGCTTACTTAGGTTTGTGGGCGCAAAGAAGGAGCAACACCTGCCAGAATTTCACCTCAAGCGTCCATGCGTCAGTTTATCTGTAAAATGGAGAGCAGTAGGACCTACCTTTGCAGGTGCTCAGAAGAGTGAATGAGACCAGCCCGTGGGAAGTGCCCAGTAAAGTGGCCGGCAAGTAGGAGGTGATCAGTGAAAGCTTAGAGAATCTTGCTGGGACAACCTGCTCAGTCCTTGGTCATCAGAATGCCCATGTGGTTTTAGTGTGTAATGCAACCAGGGGACATATTTTTCAGAATGGAAATCTCAAAGAGACAGCAGGGAGCGTCAAAATGATCGGGCATCCCCGCGCAGAATCCCAGTACCAGCAACACTTTAGTGAGGACCCACAAAGCCCTGAGTGAAGCTGACACCTGAGGGTTTCACCCACAGACCTCAGCCTGGGGTGCGGAGAGGGAGAATCTCAGGAATCCTAAGGGTGGAAAAGACACTGAACTCAGTCCGCTGGGTCAGGAAAGCAGGTGGTGAGTATGCTGAGCCCACAGGCCTTTGCAGTCACCTGGGAGTTACCTTTTGGAGTTGGGGGATGTGAACATCAAGGCCAGAGACCAAACAGGAAATGGAACAAGAAGGGCTGGGTCATTAAAACACTCTGAGCTTTGCCAAATACCTCAAACTCAAACCAGAAGACCCATCAAAGGCTTTGTAAGAGATGAACAGATAAATTATTGGAGGGCCAAGGAGAAGTCAGGAATGGCAAGGATGGAGGAAAGTGTTTCCAGGAGCATCTGTTACAGCAGAGTGAGCAAACAGTGTTAGAGCTGACCACGGGCCCACTGGGTTCAACAAACAGGAGGTCACAGGTGTCCCTTGCAATGGAATGTGGCAGGTTTCTTCTTCAATATTAGAACGCCCACACCCACACATGTGGGTGCTGGGACTTTCTAGAGCTGGTCTGGAGGACGCACCAGATCTGCTTACCCCCCTTCTTAGAGGGACAAGCTCTTACAAGGAGATGCAAATTGATTTCAGACAGTTCTGTCTTTCAGAGACCCCCAATTTCAGACTCATTCCTTGGATGTGGGTCCTACTTTATGACCTGCTGGTTAAGAGCACAGACTCTGAAACCCGATAATCTGTGTTCCGATCCCACGACTGCCACTCCCACTTTGTGACCCTGGACAACTCACCCTCTCTGAGCCTCAGTCTCCAATCTGTCAAGCAGAGATAATGACTGTCCTCCATTACCGGGTTGTAGGAGGATGTACTGAGTTAGCGGCTCTCAAGCGCCGGCCATGGTGTGTGCTTTCTAAGTGGCCCCTGACCACACTACCCTCTGGCTGCTGGTGCAGGATTGACTGCAGCCTACAGTGGACTCCACCACTTGCTCAACACCACTCTGACGGCTTGCTGACACGTGGCATGGCGAGTTCCTTACCTTCTCCAGTTAAGCTTGCCCTCTGTGTGATGGAGACCATAACGCAGGTTCTCCAGGTGGGACTGCCTGTGGTTATCAAATCCCTTCCTGCTTCTGGGACACATGGCAAGACTACATTTCCCAGCCTCCCCTGCAGGTAGGTGTGGCCACACCACCGAATCCTGGCCCGTGAAATGTGAGCGGAGGTGAAGAAGCCCCTTGCAGGCCTGGCCCAGGAAAACCTCCAGGCTCTCTCTTCACATCCACCAGCTGAAAGCAAAGGTAAGTCTACCAGATGGAAGATGCCTGGGCCCCCAGTCAGTGTGGACAGCTACATCAACACGGGACTGAGGCAAGAATGAGAAAGAAACTTTTGCTGTTTGGACCCTAGGATTGCGGGATTGTTACAGCACACAGTCCCCTCTAATACATGGTCTTATCAGGTTGTTGTGAAGAATAAATGAGATAATGTAGGCCAAGTGCTTAGGTAAGCAAACTGAACTTAGTTTAGTTAGCTTAAACTATTATGTGCTTTAACTAGTTAAGTGCTTAAGTGAACTAACTGAATTAAGTTAACTTAGGTGAACAAAGTACACCTTTGATAAGTGAATGTCCCTGTTGACCTCTCAACCCTTGGCCACACCTGCCACTGGCATATGGCACCAGTGGTTGAAGGCTCCGAGATCAGCCTGACCTCAACCCAGCTCCCCTGCAGAGATACTCAGCAGATTCCACAGGGCGGGTGCACCCCTGAGCTCCTTACTCATCTGAAGGGCCATATCCTAAATCCAGGACAGAGAAGGGGTCTTGTTGGGACCCAAAGCCACTTATCCCAGCGAGAGACCCTGCCCGAGGAACGAGGGGGCTTACCAGTGCGACGCCCAGGATCTGGGGGAAGGTGTATGAGGAGCAGCCAGCGGGCGTGAGGCGGATGGTGGCATAGGGGGTCTGAAACCAGGCCTTCTCGCTGGCCCACACGATGTCGCAGAGGGGCAAGATGGAGGCACCCAGGCCCAGGGCAGGCCCATTGATCGCAACCACGATAGGCTTCTTAAACTGGATAAAGGCCTTCACAAAGTCCCTGGGAGAAAAGAGAAGACCCTTTTTAACAGGTGGGCAGGCCTGCCGAGACCTATTCGATACCCTTTAACCTGCCAAGGCTGAAATAAGTTTCCCTGGTGCTGTGAAGCACCCTCAGGTGGTCAGAGGGAACTGGGTGCCAGGCAAGCATCTCATTCTCCTGAACACCGAGCCCACTGAGCTGCAGCCACAGGCCTGGCATACTCGGTGGTCGGTGGCACACTTTCTGAAAGAGATTTGTGGGGTGACCATATGTCCCACTTTTCCCAGAGGGTCCAGAGTCATGCCCATTGTCCCAGCACTGCACCCAGTTAGCACTCCCTGGATATTGACAAATTTTAAATATCCTAAGAAAGACAACCTGAACATCAAGGTCTAGAACCAGAAAGAGAACCAAAAGGAGGGCATTACAAGGAGGCATATTTGAATGCAAGGAGACAAAGAATGTTCTAACAGCACTGGCTGAAGGTGGAATGGCTGGCATTGGGAGGTATGAACATCTCATTACTCGAGGTATTCCAGTTTTGGCTGGATGATCACTTTGGGCGATGCTGTAGAGGGAATTCAAGCTTCAGATGGTGGGCACAGGTGATATTTAACCTTTTTTTAATCCTATGATTGTTTGATTCTGAATCATCCAAAGGGATGCCAGGCCCATCAAGGGTGGTTCTAGAATGCTGACAAGGATCTATATATTATGGTGGCTTCGTCCAAAACTGGGGAAGGACACTGAGCTCCCCTGGAGGCGTGAGGCATCTGGGGTCATGGCTCTGCAATTAGTAGACATTTTATCCCCCTCCCCTTCCTCATCGACCAAAGTTCAGAGTGCATCTGTACCTATTAAGCAGAGCCAACTCCACTTTCTTTGCCCTAGAATGCTTTTCACCTCCCCCATAGCTGCTATCTAAGATCCATAAAATGTTAATACTCATCTGGACATGGAGGAAAGATCCAAGATGTCTAGTAAAGCCTGCATCCTTCATTATTCGCAGGTGGAAGACTGGAAACTACCAATAACTCATGAGAATAAAATCCATACTCACGACCATGACCTTGGTTTGCTTCTGCTTACTCCCCCAGGCTCATCTCTTATCTCCCTCAAGCGTGCTCACAATGCATGAGCTGCAAGGGCCTTCTGAGAGTTCTCGGAAAACACCAGTATCACAATTTGCAATTATCCTAATTATTTGCTTGCTTACTTGGTTTTGGATTTTCCTCCCTCTTCAGCTCCTTGCAGAAACCCACAGGTCTGCCTCGTGCATGGCTTGGTGCCCATACCTACTGGAGTTCACCCTCAGTAACTGCCGGATAGATAAAGGAGTCTTCCAGAACGAGAGTGAAAACTGCAGATGTGCGGCAGGGATGCACTCGCCGCTTGCCACACCTGCTTTCCCTTCACTCCTCTTCCTGAGTCTGCTGTTGGAGCACATTTCCCCGCCTCTCTCACAGTTGGCTGTGGCCAAGTAACCGAACGCTGGCTGATGGAATGTGAGTGGAAACCTAAGCCCACTTCCAGGCCCGAGCACAGAAACCTCTCACCATGCAGCCTGCAAACGCTTTCACCTTGAAGAGCACGGCTGTCTTGGAGGGCCCGTGTGCTGAGCCACAAGACGGAAGGAGTCTGGGTTCTTGAGTCACACTTGGAGGACAGCCACAGGCTGATCAAAAGCATCCGTTTTAGGTTCCCAAATATAAGAAGTAAATTTCTATCACACCTGAGCCATTACACATATTCAGGGTTTATTCATTACAGCAGCTAGTACTTCACTAATACAAACGTCTGGCTGATTTATGCCTTCACGGCTGCTACCATTTCCCTGCAGTCCTTACCAAAACATGTGGGCATCACAGTGATACGCTGGGATCGGATTCCACTGTGAGAAGCCTGGGGTGGGGGGTGTCTCACGACTTGCGTGTTGTCATCTAAGTACGCATCCTTGCCCATGCTCGAGGCAGCCCATCTCCTAACTCCTGTACAGTGGTTTGTGAGTAGAAGGCAGAGCTCTCTCAGCCAATGCTGACCCCCCAAAAGGACACTGCTGCACTCTGACACCACAGCCCTCTGATTCCTCTGATTCCAGTGGCCCATTTCCTGGTCTGACTTCCTAACTTCATGGCCTCAGTCACTGGCCTTAACATGTGCTTTTTAACCAAATGCAATTTGGAGCCTGCACCGTATGTGGGGTTTCTTGGCAGGATCCTTGGAACCACAGGGTCTGAGTGATTTGGGACCAACATTCCACATCTAAACCCCTTCATACAATTCCAGTACCTTGAATCTCCAAGTTGGAAAGGAATTCAGGAGCCATCAAGCCAAATCTTCCACTCAGTGCAGGATTCCCTCCCTAGCATTGTGAGGATATGCCATCCTCCAGCCATTGTGGAATACTTTCAGTAAAGAGGGTCCTTCCTATCAAGACGCCTCCCCACTGTGGACCTCATGAGGGCCTCTCTGACACTCCCACTCTGCTCCAACCTCCACACCACAGCCCTTGAGGAATTCATCTCCACCCTCATGACCTTATGGGACCATACCGTTCCAGAGCCCAGAGCCTTCCTTCTGCAGTCTCCAACCTGAGCCCTGTGCAGAGGGATCACACATCCGGAAGAGGGCTAAAGGGACCGGGTGTGCCCAGCTCTACCCCTGCACCCCCACGCCATCCTATTTCGGTCCACGCTGCCTTGCAGGCTCATGTCCTGGATATGAAAATGCAATGCACAGACCATTCTCCCCATCCTCTTCCTCTCAAGCAGAAGATCTCTATCACAAGGGCCCAGTGGACACAGAAGCCTGACAGCAAACAGGATATTGCATTACAGATGCTGCCGCTCAGATATCTGATCCTGACTTGGGTGGCGGGACAGTGCGGGGGAGATGGCTTGTCATCTTCTTCAGCATCAAAGTCCATCAGTCATGCTGACTCCAGCCCCCGCAGCTTCCTCCACTCAGCCTAGCCCTGTGCTCTCTGCCTGCCTGAGTGTTGGGCTGCTCCGATGTGGCAGAAGGAGCAAGAACTTTGGGGTCAAGTCTCCACTCTGTCGTCCCTAACCAGTAGTGAGATCTTGGACAAGTTACTCACTCTCTGGAATCCCATTTTCCTCCCCGTCAAATGGGAAAGCCAACGGTTTGTCCTCGTAGGGCCATATGGGAATTGAAGGAGACAGTGCCTGGCCCACAGGAGCCCTGGGCCACGGCTGCTTATAGTATTATAGTCAGTGCACCTGCTGGGGTGGGGGAGCTGCTCTCTCCATTCTCAGGGGTTGGTGATCTGCCCTCCAGGCCCAGAGGACTCTCCAAAGCAATGACCTGCATACAAATGACACCTGGGGCCCATGGCCTTTCCTGTGTGACCTGGCTACCTATTCCCTTTAACCAGAGCGCCAGGGTGTAGCTCTCCCACTGCCAAAGTTTCAGAGCCAAGTCAGCCAGTACGAAACCTCTGACCACCAAATACACATGGTGATGGTCATCCTGGAGCTGTCAGATGGGGGCTCTTGAAGCCCACTCCACGGTCAGAGCAGGCTTAGCTAGAGCTTGTGGCCAGACATAACAGTACTAGCAATGAAAATAATTCCTTACCCCTGTCCTGAGGACTAACTATGTGCTGGGTCCATCCAAGTTTTTCCCATGGGTTATCTGATTAATCTTCATCGGCAGACCATGCCATCACCTGTGAGGAGTTCAGGTGAGGGCAGCCTCTCTTTCAGGACAGGGCTGACAGCTTTGTTTGGGTCCTGGACAGAAGCCTGTGCTGAATGAATCATCTGAGCTCTTCTCACATCTGCTAGTTCATTCAACAAACATCTGCAGAGTGAATATGGCGTACTGGGTCATGTGTGTGCATGTTTTTTCTAGGAAACGATGAGGTTGGGGCAGGAGCAGTGCTGGGGGTGCTGTGGCCGTGCAGCGTGCCCGGATCCTGGAGGTCAGCCCAGCCAAGAGCATGGAGGTCCCCAGAGAACTGCAAGGGCTGTCTGTAGGTTATAAGGTTCTGTGGCCAAAGTATGTTTCAGCCATGCTAGACTTTGAACAAAGTTCTTTCACAAGAGACTTCTCAGACTGCAAATATGTTCCTATGCCTGGAAAATCCACAGGAGCAGGGATAGAACTTGCAGCATAGCCCAAAGTAATTTATGGACAGTGCCCTTCACTCATGATACTTCTCTGGAAATCTGCAGAACATTCTCTGGGAAATGCTTCTCTGCCACCTTGCGTCCCAAACTCTGGAGCGTGGGTGCCGGGGCGAAGCACTCGAAATTTGGTGGAGCTGGAGCCTCCCCTAGGACTTGGTGATGATGGGCAAGGTGCGTTTTCTGACCCCATGGGCACTCTTCACTATGAGGGCCATACTGTACACACCCCCATCCGTCCTCGTGAAGCTGCTCATCCACCCTTGGTCCTTCCAAAACCAAAGACGAGCTGGCCGCACCCCACACTCCCTGATTCGGTGTCTTCTGGGGTTGTCAAGCAGCTGGGTTTTAGAAAAGCTCCCTGTGGATTCTCTGTGCTGTTCGGGCTGTGAACTGCTGGTCTAGGGGGCATCCCCCATTTCCTCTCCCAGTGTCACTGCAGGCTCACAAATTAGGAACTTCCACTCCCTTTGAGCATTGGGAAGAATTCCCTCAGCTACAACCCCCTCTACTCTGCCTAAGAGAAACTCACCTTCCTGATGAGATAGCAAATGTCTTAAATCCCACTGACTGTGTTTCTCAAGACGTTAGCTAATGCAGTCAGCATCTCCTCAAATCTGGGACTCCTGGAAATCCAGCTAATGCCTCCGCTGAAGTTCATAAACCACATGACGGCGATGGCCAAGGCTTTCCTCAGGCCCCAGAGATGGGCACCCCATCTCTGATGGTCCCATAAATGAAGGAAGCTTACGGGGGGACCCTGTTGCCCCCCTCGCCATGTGACGAGGCAGCTATTAAAAGGGATGGCTGAGTCCGAGCAGAGAGTAAACTGCTGAGGACGCAGCCAGGGCTGCCTGTAGCCAGGAAGCTTGGGAGCAGCGTGCAACCACGATGCCCTTTCCAGTAACAGCATTCAGCCTTTTTGTGTCTCTTTGGGCACGAATTCTGCAACGGGAAGCACGCATGTGTTTTGGAGCATACTTCACTGGATGCTTCACCCTGAAGAGGGGACTTGGAACCCCACCTGTGACAGCATCCCCATATCATTTCTTGGAGACCGCATCCTGGGGAAGGCTCTCATAGCCACATGACAATCAGCATCATGTGATGCTGCCAGGCACAGTGAGATTGGAGGCCCCAGCAAACCCCTCCCATGAGGCCTGAGGCTCCATGACCCCACATGGAGAAGTGTTCCTTTCCCAGAGACCAGGTGGCATTACCACACCGTGACTCTTGTCGGAACTTGGGGCAAGGTGCAGCAGCAAGCCTGAGCCCTTCCCAGGGCGGAGGCTGAGTGACAGCCCTTGCTGGAAATAACACTTACTTGCTTTTGATAAATCTAGAAGTAATGGGGAAATAACTACCCTTCAGGGTCCCGAAAAAGATACCGATTGTCGGGATTGTTGGGATGTCAGCCCCAGGATCCCAACTTTTGTTCCAAAGGCAACAAGAGAGGGGGAAGCACTCCTCACCCCACTGGGTCTGCAAATGCACAGCTGCCCGGGGTACCCTTCCATCCTCTCCCCAGTGCTGGGCCATGTCAGCTTCGGGACACAGGAACACCCAGAAAATCGACAATTTCACCATCAGGCAGAGGGCGGGAGTAGCATGGATAACACCTGCACATTACCAGATGCTGGGCTTAATATAAAGAAATAAAATCTCTTTTTGATCCAAAAAAAAAGTAAGCTAGAGAACAAAGACACCCCTAATTTTGGCAGAAAAATAAAGGATGCCCAATTAAAATCCCAATTTCAGATAAACAACAAATATTTTTTTTAGTGTAAATATATCCCAAATATTGCACGGGATAGACTTATGATTAAAAAAATGTTGTTTGAAATTCAAATTTAACTGAGCAGACTGTATTTTTATGTGCTACATGTGACAAGAACGAGGCAGGTCCCAAAGTGTCCAAACATGAGCAGAGCTCACCTGATGGCTTCTGCAATCCGGGTACTCTCCTTTCTCCGGTCACTGGACAACCGGCCAATTAGGTAGGAGTAATCTAGGCCACTGCAGAATACGCTGCCCACTGCACTGAGAAGCAGCAGTTTGCTGTCATCCGTGGCCGCGTTGCACAGTGCTCGCCGGACCTCCTTCATAATCTGCAGGCAGAGATGGATTGGCGGGGATGTTAAGTGTCTGCTTATACGCCAAGTGGCTTTCAGATCTCAAGCCCGCCATAGGCCTCACCCTTGAGGGCAGAGGTGAGTACATCTTTTCTTCCTGTGCAGGAAGACTCTCCCGAATTCAAGCCACATCCAGACTAAGCAAAGAAACACCAAAACCAGAGCTCCCCTGCAGCATCCCCAAAGCAGGCAGAGTGCTAAGAAGGTGGCAGTGGGGTCACTGGCCTCAGACTCGGAAGTCTGGCTTGGAGCCGTGTAATCCCTGGTAAATCTCTGCAAATCTTCTTCCAGCATTAGCCCTTTTCAAGGTGTGGGAAAAAAATGCCTGTGCACAGCCCAGGTGAGGTATGTTAGCCTTTTTTAGAAGGCTAGGTTTAATTGTACTCTTGCTCATCCTTAATTCAACTAAGACTTTTGATTGGCTCGTAGGTAGCACATGGGAAGTGGGCTTTGGCATCAGAACTCATAAAATTTTCAAGGTGCCACGGAAAACAACCATCCGACACAGATTCTGTATCCAGCTAAACTATCATCCAAAAGCAAGGGTAAAAATGAGGCATTTTCAGCAAAAGAATGTTTACCACTCTTAGACCCTCGCTGAGAGAATTTAAAAAGGATGCACTTCAGAAAGAAGAAAACTATATTCAGAAAAACGGACATGCAAGGAATAACAGCCAACAAAGAAACGTGGTGAATGTGCTGATAAATCAATATAAGAATGACTATAAAATCATCAGACAGATATTGACCAACTGAGGCTGAGGGTTTGCACAAAGGTAGAATGGGGTCCAGGTGGTAATAGCACATTAGTGAGAGAAGGGATGACAACCACATGCCGGGGTTCTAGGTCTGGGCGTGGTGGAGAGGTGAGGGTGATGTTTAGGCTTCACTATGTGCACAGAACTTAAGGATAACTTCTTAAAAGTACATGGATTACAATGAATGGGGAGGGAGTTAAAATAAAGAAAGCTCAATCAGTCCAACTGAAGTGACAGAAGGATGGAAAAATAAGTGAATAAGTGCAAAAAAGGCATGGTAAGAGAAAACAAGGCATGCACTTGCCTGGGTGGAGCTGAGAGTCCAACTGGGGAGACAATAAGTGAATAGGCTTTTAAGGGATCGTTATTAGTTTTTCAATAGGCATAATCATAGGGTACAATGGGAAACTATTATGGGAGCCATGTTTTTAAAATTATACTTTTTAAAGAACACATTTATTAAGCACTTGGAGGTGCCAGGGATTGCAACAGGTAATTTCCACGTATTTTACTCTGAATGAAAATCCCATCTAGGAGGGAATGGTATCCCAATCTTGCAGGTAAATCAAGGGAGACTCAGAGAAGGGCGTGAAGCTGCCCGAGGTCAGCAGCAAGAGACAGAACCATGATACGAATCTCACCCCCAAATCCCTTCTCTTTCTACCACTCCATATTGTAGGATGACTTAAAAAAATGGGTGAAAAAAAATAGGGCTGGATGTCAGTTTGAATGGAGAATCTCTCAGCCTGTGCTCTGTGAGGATGGGAGAGGCACTTTCCATTCTTTTTTTTTTAAAGATTTTATTTATTTATTCATGAGAGACAGAGACAGAGACAGAGAGAGGCAGAGGGAGAAGCAGGCTCCCAAGGAGCAGGGAGCCCGACGCGGGACTCGATCCCAGGACGCCGGGATCATGACCTGAGCCGAAGGCAGACGCTTTAACCATCTGAGCCACCCAGGCGCCCCGAGGCACTTTCCATTCTAACAGGGTATGAGCCACAGATTCATTTTGAACATCAAAAAAGCAAAGAGGCCACTATCTTGTGGGTCCTTTAATCCATCTGCCTCCAGAAATAGACACACTCTGAACAATCCATGAACTCTATTTCTCTGAGAGGCAAATAAAAGAAAACCCCACTGTAAAGACGTGAGCTGACATTCCGCACATGACTCAGAGAGTTGCCTCTCTCTCTGAGGCCACATTTACTTGTCAATTAATAAAGACAAAATCAAACAAAACAGCCACCTCCTTTATGAGTTAAATGGAAAGTAAATTTGTGTTTCATTCATGTCACAAAAGTACAAACTATATATATATATATTTTAATTTAAAGAACATTATATCTAGTTAGTATAGCTTTCTTTTGCCTTTCTTGTGTCGATAACCCAATTTGGACTGATGGCTGAGGTTCCACCTCCTTGAAGGACCCCAAATTGTATAACGTACCTGGTTTGTTTAAAGTAAAACATTCTAAAATGATTACTCCCTTGCTCTTAAATTCCTCTGCTGCACCCACATAACTACCTCTCGATGGTCACTTGCTAGGCTGTAACCGACCAGTGCCCTCAGAGGCCGCTGGGGAATGCCTCTGTAACAAATGGTCCAAGACCGCTATGCATTTTGAAGCCCTAAATATGTTCTTGAGATTTACTGCCCTTGTTAGACCCTTGCTAGCTGTCACTTACTCCAGATGTCAATATCCGCCAGAGAAAGCACACGCCCCTGCTACTTCTACCTTCTGATCTGCCATGGGTTGGAACCAGATAACCAAATTCATTAGAAGTAGGTTGAAAAGGGGAGCAGACCACAGTCCCTCTCTCTACTTCATCTTTACTTGCTGAAATCAGCCACCCAGGGCCCATCTCACCTGTGACCACCTTCCTGAACGCTTTCCCAAATATCCCTGACTAAACGCAAACTCTTCCTTCTCCCAACACCCCACGTGTCCCCTATGACCCTTGTTACAAGCCCCCTTGTAGAATGTGAGCATCCTTGCCTTACCCTACCTCCTGCTTAATGATGATCCCCTCCATGGGAGTCATACCCTTATGGAATCCCCTCCCCGTGAGTGTAGACCGGATCTAATGGCTCATGCCTAACCACAAGGTACAGCAAGAGTGACAGGATGTCCCATTCAAGAGGAGACTGGGATACAAAAAGACACAGCTTGTCTTGGCTGTCCTCTTATGCTCTCCTTCCTCCTTGGAGCTCTCAGTCTGGGGAAGCAGACCATGTCATGAGGAGCCCACACGAAGTAGCCATAAAGGGGGGACTGATGTCTCTGGCCAGCAAGGACCTGCCAGCAGCCACTTGGGTGAGCTTGGAATTGGATCCTCTTCCACACCTTCAGCAGAGACCACAGCCCCAGGCAACATGCCTTGACTCCAGGCTTTGAGAGACCCTGAGCCAGAAGCATACAACTAAGCCATGCCAGGATTCCTGACCCAGAGAAACTGTGAGATAATGTTCATTGTTTTAAGATGCTAAGTTTAGGGCAATTTGTTATGCAGGAATACGTAACTAATACAATTCCTTAAAAGCTAAAACAGATGAGACTTCTACTTATCTGTATAACCCTTGTAACACCTAGTCCAGAACCTCACACATAAAAAAATTTAATAAATGTTTATTGATTTGAATGAGTGGCATAATATTTACCTCTTCAAGAAGCTTACAGTGTAATGGGGGGGAACCAGATATTTAACAAATTATCACACAAATACATGTACATTAAAAACAGTAACAAGTTCCAGAAGGGAGGGGCGCCTAGTGCTGGGAAAGCTCCTGAGAGGGGCATGTAACCTGGGCAGGGATCTGGGGGGTGGGGACGGATCCCATGGAAGTGGTGGTTGAGCTGAGCCCTGAATGAAGTGCAAGGCCACTAGGCAAGGATGTTTCAGTCAGAAGTACAGGTATATGCAAAGGCCCTGGGGCAGGTGTGATCATGAAAGAAAGCCAGGCTGACTGGAGTGCAGGAGAAGAGAAGGGGGATGTGTGATACGAGGCAAGGAGGCTTGCACAGGTGGGCAGGTCAGAAAATACCAGCCTCGCAGGCCACATGAACAGTTTTAATTCTTAATCAGAGCAACTAGGAATCACTGAAGTGTTTGAAGTATGTGCGCACACGTGTGCGTGCGTGCATGTGCGTGTGTGTATGTGTGTGTGTGCGTGTAGAAGGGGTGACTTGATCAGATTTGCATTCCTGGCAGATCACTGTGCCCACATTGAGGAGAATGGATTACAGGGTAGGAAAGATGAAAGAGCATGCTTGTTAGCAGGTTATTACAACAATCCAGACAGAATATAATAGTCCTGATGGAAATAGAGAGAAGAAAGCCTATTAGTGGGCTATTCAAAGATGAAAGTTAATAGGTCTCAGGGGTGTGTGGATGTGGTGGGTATGATCAAGAGGGTATGAGGTGTGACTCCCACATGTCTGGTGTGTTCCCTCAGACAGGGGTGGTGCAGTTCACTGAGGCTGGGAGCACTGCAGAAAACCGGGAGTTGAGAGAGGGCTTGGCGTCTTCAATGGGGAAGTGGATGGGCTTTTAATCACCAACACTTTGGGCAATCTATTTTGCTGGTTCTTTCCTAAAGGGGCATTTTCATTATTTTCCTGGTTCTGTGCTATATTCCAGACAGGAGCAATATTACCACATACCCACTGGCCTCAGAATCTAGTTAACACACTCAGTAATATATGAATTTCTGCCCATGAGGCCAATCCAACCAATGTCCCATATACAACTAGAAAAAGAAATTCAATTATGACATGCAGGGTGGCCTCGTCCCAGTTGCTCCATGAGTAAGTAAGGCTGGGCCTGCTGGAGGCCGTTAAATCACCTCTGCTTCATCTTAACAATGATGGTAACACTTACTGAACACTTCCTATGTGCCAGGCATTCTGTGAGTCTCTCTGCAGACATTATCTCTAATCCCACAAGCAAGATACACTATAACTTCTACAAATGAGGAAGCTCAAAGAGGCAAGGTAACTCCCCAAGGCGAGCTGGTGGAGGCAGGAATGGAACCTAGTCCACCAGACTCCAAAATCTATATTCCTCTGCTAACATCACCTCTTCTTTTCACTGAGATCTTTCTTTCAGGGTTACTTTACCCAGTTGGCCAGCTTATCTATAGAGTCAATCCACTTTGATTGTCGAGACGGCTGAAAACACCAGATCAGTATTTTTTCTCCATTTTCCTCCCATTCTGTTACTGACAGACACCAATTAGGAATGGAACCCCTAATTCACCAAACCTCCATCTCAGGAATTGGAAGCCACACATGTTCCGTGGTGAGTAGGCAATAGTTAACACATAAAGCTACTCCAAAGAGACAGGATGAACTGGGAGACCCCATACTGATTCAATTTATTGAAGGAAAATGCTGTGCCTTTTAAAAGCATGCTTTCAAAAAGTACTGAAGGGGAAAAAACTCCAAGAAGAGTTGGTCTCGTACACATGTTTCACAATGAGCTTAAAATAACAAGGCTTCCAAGTGTATAAACTTATGAAGGGCAGCCTCTGGGGTAAACCACCGAGGTCTATGCAGCAGAGAACCCTGAGGTGGTTCCTGAAGGTGTAAGAGAGAGACCCCAGAAGACTATGCTTAGAGGAGGGGCAGCAAGTGACCAGCAGCCCCACAAACTGCAAAGGCTTTAGCTACATCTCTTGCCTTAAGGCAATCATTCCTGACTATCAAAAAACACAGTCCCTTGAAGGAACTATAGTTTATGTAAATCATAATGATAAGACATGTGATTACGAGTCCAAGGACACAGCACCTCCCGCCCCACCCCACTTGCTGGGCCTCCCCAAGTGTACCGGATGCACTGGGCAATGCCTGACCACCCTGCCGAGCCCAGTCTGGGCAGATGGCCACTCCTTGACTGTGTCCCTGTGGTTAACACACCTCTGTGGTGAAGCCTCTGTGTCTTCACTACTACTGTGGGATCAGTGCAGGATATCACAGGACAGGGAAAGGGAGGTGGGGGCTTTGCTGTCTTCCACGGGCCAGGTGCTGGGCTGAGTGTGAGAAACAACATGGTGGGCACAGGTGGCAATGGTCCTGCCCCTTAGAGCTGACGGGACCCTAAGCCTAAGTTCTCTAAACCTGCATTGTCTCATCTATAAGAGGTGGATCACGAGAACCCTACATCAGAAGGGTCCCGGGAGAAGGAAATGGGATAAGCAGCAAATACAAAAGAGGAAGAGCTGCTGGTAGATGGTGCAGTCAAGGTTTTTGTCATTGACCCCTCCGCGGCCCTGTGGCAGGTCGGTCTAGTTGGGGAGGGCTTCTTGGATGAGTCTTTTCCCACATTTGCACCATCAAGAATATCTTAAAAAGCATTAATCATTTCTTCATTGCTCCCCCTCAGTACCCCAGATCTTAAACGGTGCTGTCTATGTAACAGCATTAAGTATCCATTGTCTCCCCGTTCTGTTCACCTAAAATATAATTATGATTAGCATTAAAAAGGTAAGGTGGAAAAAACAGGTAAAAGGGACTTCATCAAAATTTTAAACATCGTACATCCAAGGACACCATTGAGAAAGTAACAAGTCCCAGAATGAGAGCGTATTTTCAAATCATATGTCTGACAAAGAAGTCTTAAAACTCAACAGTCAAAAACAATTTAAAGAATAGGCAAAAGATGTGAATAGACATTTCTCCAAAGAAGACAGACAGACAGCCAATAAGCTCACGAAAAGATGCCCAATATCATTAGTCATCAGGAAAATGCACATCAAAACCTCAGTGAGATGCCACTTCACGCCCACTCCAACAGCAAAATAACAAGAACAGATAATAACAAGTGCCAACAAGGATGCAGAGACACCAGAGCTCTGGGCCAGTGGGAATGGAAAATGGCACAGTCACCGTGAAAAACAGGCCGGCAGTTCCTCAAAAAGTTAAATACAGAGTTAACCTATGACCCAGCAGTTCCACACAGAGGAATATAGCCAAGAGCACTGAAAACACGTTCACACACAAAGTCGTACACAAACATTTGCAGCGATACTCGTCATAACACAGTAGTCAAAAATGGAACCAATACAAATGCCCATCACTGAATGACTGATGGACAAAATGTGGCATCTCCATACAAGGGAAGGAAGGAAGCACGGATGTGCACTACCCCATGGCTGAACCTTGAAAACACCATGCTCGGTGGAAGGAACTGGTCACAGATCACATATAATACACTTCCATTTACATGAAATATCCAGAATAGGCAAATCTGTACAGACAAAAAGTAGATCTGTGGTCGCTGGGAACCATGTGAGGGAAAATGGGGAGGGGATGGCAGTGGGCATGGGGTTTCCTTTGGGGGTGATGGAAATGTGCTGGAACTAGATCGTGGTGATAGTTACATGACCTTGAGAATATACTTAAAAAATGTGCATGTTAAAAGGGTGAAATTTATGATGTGAATTCTATCTCAATTGAAAAAAAAGTAAGTGAGCTGAGTGAATAGGATTCCTTCCAAAGCAAGGAAATTTGACACACTTGGAAAAGCCCAAGATATGGTGTTTGGAGTCTGGGGCTGCCCTCTGACTAAATCTGGGACCCGGATCAGTTTTCTGAAACTCTCCATTTACTGAGGTCTTCATCTGTAAAATGGGATAGTATCATTACTTGGTCATAAAGATCAAATGGATAATGTATGCAAAGTGATTAGCACATGGTGTCCCATAGTCAAGTTTGCATGTGTGTTGGCTATCGTCACTGGCTCCCTGATGGAACAAAGAGAGAGCCAGTGCCCCATTCTGAATGAGAAGCCCTCTCCAGCCTGACCCTCCCCTCAGGTCCCCTGTCTCTCACCTCGGGGGTCAGTGCGTTGTTGTCCGAGGTCTGGCTGGACAGCAGGATGTGTGTGAACCCCTCTTCCTTGCGCACGACAATGTCCCGAAACCTACAGTTGCTTTCGTTCTGGCGGACGCTGTACCTGAGCCTCTTGTCAAAGACATAGTCCTTCTCTGCTTCCAGCTTCCTCTTCACGGGGCTGTGCAGGTTTAATCCCCCGTTGGTCAGAGCAGAGCCTTCCAAAATCAGATAACCAAAGTGAGAAACTGACATAGGAACAACCACACAAGAGGGTGATCACAGAATGTTCAGGCTGGATGTGGCTGGGACCTCCATGCACCCTCTGTTCTTGGGTGGAGAAGGGCCCAGGGCTTAACTGCTTCATCTCCAAATGTGAACTAGGACAGAGAGCACTCTCTGTGGAGGGCCCCAAGGGATGATCCTTGATCCCCCTCCCACACATCTACCGTGAGCCTCCACCCCTGCTCATGCACCTTCAGCAGCAAGGAACCCAATACTTTGAAAACTGATGGCCACCAAACAAAACAAACAGACCAACCAAAACACTGCAGCTTTATTCATAATCACCAAAAACTGGAAGCAACCAATATGTCTTTCACTAGGTGAATGAATAAACAAACTGGTACATTCATAGTGCGGAATATTATTCAACCATAAAAAGAAATTTGTTATCAAGCCGTGAACGTACACAAATGAATCCTGGATGCTATTTCTAAGTGAAAGAGGCCAGTGTGAAGGGCTACGCCTGGCACGATTCCCATTACACAGAATCAGCCAAACGATCAGTGGTTTCCAGGGATCAGGTAGAAAAAGAGGAGATGGAACGGGGGAAACACAGGGGATTCTGAGGGCGGTGAAACGACAATGATGAATGTGGGACATTAAACCTTTGTCAAAACCCAAAGAACTTTGCCGCACAGACACTGAAGCTTAAAGGATGCAAATTAAAAAAAATAAATTTACAAGACTGGGGGAATCCAAGGACGGCACGCAGCTGATCAAAGAATCGAACTGTATGACCAACGTGTGAAACCACCTCACTGAACGGGGTGGGAGGCCCTCGGCACCTCAGAAACCCTAGGAATGACTGGAGTCTGTAAAACTAAAGCCAAGATAGCCCATAGAGAAAGTTTGTGCTCCAGCTGGCGAAGCCCATTCCCATGGAGGTGGATGAGAGTTCAGATTCTGATACCATTATCCACGTGTGCTGGAACTGAACGGTTAAATGAATGGATGGCAGATGGTAGGAGTAATGCTTCTCACAGTTGGAGTGGGAGTTTACAGATCAGCAAGAGGAGGGGGCTAGAAGGATCCATGTGGCTGTGGGTTCAGAGTGGAAGACATCAGCATGAACTCACGTTTAGCTTAACGCAGATCCAGACGGTTACATGCGGACATAGTTACAGGTACATGTGTGTACGCAGGGCACTACACACACATGTATTTCCTCGAACTGTCAGCTGAGAGGGCCCAGAACCATCAACACCCCAATAGCAGTGAGCATACCGAGGGCCCAGATGTTGGTTTCTGATACCATTCTCAGTAAAAGGAACCAGGACTCCCTGAAGAAATGGCAGATTCCAGGCCTGGGGCAGGAAACACACAAGATAAGCTTATAGTGGTGGAAAGGAAGGAAGTAGTAAAAAAATAAAAAATAATAATCTCTGCAGTGAAGAGACATGTCAAAAGGACAGAGGAGCCAACTGAAAGAGCTCCCAATGGCCAAACGTGCAACAACGTGAGCAACACAATAGACTAGAATTGCATTTATAACTGAAAGTATAAAATCAATACCCATGAGTCCATACTGATGTCAGTAAATAATCAAATTCATAAATAAATGGGGGGAGAAGAGACAAATGCCCATGCAAAAGAAGTCCAAACAGTTTCTGTAGAGTCTCTGCCTGCAGAGAGGTGGAGCCTAAGTCCCCAGTCGTTAAGTGTGGGTTGAGCTGGTGACTTCCTTCCGCACCACACAGCATGGAAAGTTGGGGGGCAGGGGTCGTAACTGGATGGTGGAGAAACCTGACTGGGGCAGACGGAGAAGCCAAAGCCCCTCAGCCAGGTGACGGAGACCAACATCAACAGTGATGAATCACAGTGATGGTGTGTGCCCTCAACACAATGTGTGGTCTTCCCCTCCAAAAAAACCTACATCCCCCATTTCTAGGCATGAGAAAAAGATCGAACAAAACCAAATTGAAGGGCACTCTATGGAATACTTCATCGGTACATTTCAAAACGGTCAAGGTCATCAAACACCAGGAAAGTCGGAGAAACCATCACAGCCCAGAGGAGCCTGAGGAGACATGACAACTCACTGTAATGTGAGATCCTACATGGGATTCTGGAACAGACATTAAGCAAAAACTAAGGAAACCTGAATAAAGTAAGGACTTTGGTTAATGACAACATATCATGACTGGTTCATCAACTGTAGCAAATGCACCACTCTAAGGTAAGATGTTAATAATGTGAGGGAGCTGAGTGTGGCGTATAGAGAAACTCTCTGTATTACCCTCCCAATATTTCCGTAAGTCTAAAACTGTTTTAAAAAGTGAAGTTTACTTTATTTTAAAATTAAGTTAATAATTTTTTAAAGACCCCACAAAACAGTTCTCAGGCAATTCTGACATGCAGGCAGGTCTGAGAACCTGGACCAGTGGTTCTTACACTTGAACATGCATCAGGATCACCTGGAGGACTGTTAAAAATCCACCTGCTGGGCCCCACCCCAAACTGCTGCCACTGCTTCAGCAACCAGGCTCTGAGAACCAAGGTCCAGACAAATCAGGGGGTCATCCATCACTAGGCGCCTCCCTGATGTGCAGGTGAGCCCTCTGCTTGAACGCTGGTGAAGGTCTGAAGATCTTGCTGAGTGTCCCCATTGCTGCTGGGGGTGGTGGGTGACTGCCCCATGCAATCGGTGACCTGGGCGCTGCAGGAAGGTAGGAGGAGGGGGTACAAGGAAACACAGAGAGGGACTTACTACTTGTTGGAGCCTTCCATTTAGTTTTTGGCAGGGATGCTGGAACCCAACCAGAAGCTGGCCCCCCAAAGCCCACCCTGCCCCCTACTTGGGAAAATTACTGCGTGGACAGAGTGAACATGCCCTGGTGGCTGATCCTCTGAGATCAGCTTATGAGTATCAAGAAAGAGAACATATATAAAAGACCTAGGACATAGTAAGCAATGTATGAATGGTGGCTCTTGCTTTATAATCATTATTGCCTGGCTCAGCACAAAAGTAATCCAGCAATATTTTCTGCATGAACCCTGTCTCCCCAACAATACCGTAAGCATCTTAAGGGCAGGATCACTGTCACACACAACACAGCCCAGCATACCTGTGCACCAAGAAGTCCACGGGAATTATTCTGTGGCTCCTGGAACCTTGAGTCACCCTGGGGGTGGACTCAGAACCTTACTTAGCCTCGTGGGCCTCAGAATCTCAAGAACCAAGTCCAAGGCAGGGAGCAGGAAATGACTCCCCGGAAGGACCCCTCCTCCTGCACGCCGGGTCCCCACCCAGGTGGGCGCCCAGCCACAAAGTGGCAGAGAAGCAGCGGGGCCTGTGTTGTTGGGCAGCTTCCTTGAAGCCTCCTCCTTTTGTACTTTTCCATTACTCAAAGCAACTGGGCTTTGTCAAGCCCCACGATGCGGGTAAAATGATTCAATGAACTCCGGAAAGTAAACGCAAGCATTTAATTAAAAGGCTGGTGTAGAGGGAGCTGTGTCTTCAGGGTTAACCTCAAAACCTTCGGCTCCTCGGAAGAGCTTCCTAATTGGAGCTGGCCAGGGTTTCTGCAGCAGCCCGGGTGGATCCATGCCATGGCCTTGCTGGAAGAGGTTAGCATATCGTAGGAGCTGCTCTTGGAGGGCACTGGCTCCCGCCTGTGAGAAGTCAGAAGCTCAGGGCTTGTGCACGTCAGCGCCTTCCAGGTCTGGGAAAGGTTTGACCAAAATCCTCCCGCCCCCTCCCCCAATCAAGTCAAGGCACTAATTAACAATTGTATGAGAGAGGAGGACGGGAGGCTTACCTTTTGTGAGCAGTTCTCTAGGTTGTCTATAAATTTCTCAACAGTCCTATGAAATTGCCAGTCTTTGTCTATTTTGCAGGTAACGAAAAGTGAATAACTGGCTGGAAGTCACAAAGATTTTAAGTGGTGGAGCCAGGGCTGGAGTCAGCTCTCCCTCATTTTATTTGTTCATTTGAAATCTGATTATTTAGCACCTCCTATGGGCCAGCTAGATGCTAGATGATGGAGATCCAACAAAAATCAGAGCTAAGGTCCCTATCCTCACAGAGTTTGCTTCGGGTCGGGGAGATGAAAAGTCAACAAGTAAACTATTACCTAAAATTGGGACACATGAGAAAATATCAAGTGACGTGACAGAGAATAATGGGGGCAGGGGTCTCTGAATTCAAAGCCTGTGGTCTTTCTGCAAGAGCACAGGATAAAGCAGCCCCGAAAGGACCATCTGACCAAATAAACCACAAAACTACCTGAGGAAAACAGACCTCTTTATTCTCTATCAGGCCACTGGGCTCCCACCTCTGATGGTGACTTGAAGGATGTACCATCTCTGGGCCAAAAAGAGGAGGAGAGTCTCCTTGAGAGCCTGAATTCACATCTGAACCTAAGCGGGTAACATGGGCCCTGCATTTTAGGAGATTCTGAGCAAAGCTGCCCCCCAGACACCCTCAGGTGCTGGCCTCACACATAGCTGCCCTCAAAGCCTCTCCCCCTCTGTGGCATCATGCTTCCTGAGACTGTGGCGGGCTGACCGGGAAGACACCATGGGAACAGAACATGCTGGAAGCATGGAAGTGGAGGGCTTTGCAGCCTACAGATAGCATGGAAATTCCAGCCCTGTATTTGCTAACTGGGAGAAGCTGGGAAGCCACATGAGCTCTTGAGCATTAGTCTCCTTGATGAGAAGATGGGGCTAACAGGACCTGCTTTTCAGGGTTGTTTTGAGTTCAGTTAAAGAACCAATAGGGGATTAGCAAGTGCCTAGCTCATCTTAGGCACTTCACAAACGTTGGCTGAAGGACCCCAAATCATTCCAAAAAAGAGGAATTAATTGCTGAGCGCTCTTCCTCCCAGCCTCTAAGGCTGAGGCACAAACCCAGGCCAGGATGTGGCGTTCCAGGCAGAGAGAGCTGACCGCCCTGTGAATCCATAAATCAGGGGGAAACCCAACAATGGGC